GGGGACTGGTTTTTTTCAGCTCAGGGACATTGATGCCATTTTTCGTGTCGTGCCACCATTACTGTATTGCAATCCTTTTCCAAAATACTCCACCACCATTGGCGTAAACTCAATGCCCCGCAAACAAGCTTCCCCTTTCCAGGGCTCGGGGACTTTGGCTTTTCATACTTTGACCATACTTCCAGTCCAGAAGTATGGTTTGACTACTTCTTTTGTTTTTCCTGCAGTATGTCACTTGCACTAGCAAAATGCATGGTAGATTTTGGTTTTGGTTTTTTTAAGTAGCTCCGTCTGTCTGCTGTGTGGGGAATGCTGGGGGGCTAGGGCCGGCCGGTGGGGACGAGGCTTCCAGTGGGGATCCCTCTGTTCATTACTCAGAGATGCACCCGGCACCATCCATGTGGCCCACCCCATGCTGGACGGTGCTGGGGACACACCATCACTGGACGCCACCGTCCAGGGGTTCCCAGTGCAGTGGACAAACAGACTGCAGACAAGTAGCTGGGTAACAGGAACCTTCCCGGGGGTCAGAAGGGAGAATACAGGGCTGGAGGGTTCCTGAGCAGGGAGGTCACAGAGGGGACAGTGGCCAGAGCCTGGACCAGGGCGGCAGATGAGGGAGGGGAGGGGGTGTTAAAGACACATTCAAGGGACAGATTGGACCGGATGTGGGCTGAGAGGGGGAGGGGCCTGTGACAGGCTGCAGCAGTAGAAGGAACGGGTTGGAAGGGAGGAGCTGGGGTCCGCACTGGACGTGGCGAGTGTGGCGCGTCTGGGTGGCGTCCACGAGCACGGTGAACACACAGCCCTGGTACAGGCCGCAGTGCCACCTTGTCCCGGCCCCTCACACCTAACCCTTCTTCCTAGCCCCCCATTTCTACCCGGGGTTTGTTTCCGGAACCCTAAGTCTGCCCCTGGCCTGAGGGAGAGTGCCCTCAACCTGTGCTCCGATGATCCTCGCACACACGTTCACAGACACACAGTCACACCCACAAACACACTCTTCCACTTAATTGCTTTCCTTTGAATGTGTCTAATACACAGTCTAGTGACGTGATGCCCACCGGCGTCTGGTTCATACAAACAAGAACAGGCTCTGCTTCTGGAGGCAGAAACTTTCCATTGTTGCTTTTTCTCCTTGAACTTGTGTTCAGAGGCCCCTTCCTCACAGAATTTAGTCCAGTTGATTATATGTTGGCGTCTTAGTTCTCTGGGGCCGATGTAACAGAAACACTGCAAGGGGCTGGCTTTAACAAGCAGTCTGTTTACTCCCGGTTCAGGTGGCTGCGAGTCTGAATGGGGGTCCCCCTCCCCCGGCTCCGGAGGAGGGGCCCCAGGGCCTCCTCTCCTTGAGTTTCTGCTCCTGGGCGATGCTTCCTGCGGCTCCGTATCTCTCTTGCCCGTTTCCTCCTCTTTCTCGCTCTTCTTTAACCTCCTTTCTATCTCAAAAGAAATTAACTCAAGAGTCACCCTGCACTCATCCTGCCTCATGAGCAGAACAAAAAGCACCCATTCCCGGCTGGGATTAGAACCGCAGGCACAGAGGTGAGGATTTACAGCACACGTTTCTGGGGAACACAATTCAGTTCATAACAGTTGGAAACAAAAATACGTACAGAATTCACAATTTGATTTTGTTCAATTTCCTGTGACTGTGAGGTTCAAAATGCTAAAACATTTTCTTCTGGATTGAAGTACTTTTTGTTAATAATTGGAAATTATAAGTAGCAAAACATTGGCCAATTCAGTGTTTTTCACACACACAATCTACTTAGACTAGTTACAGCCATCACGTTGTGCAAAACCAAAACTAAAGTCACTGGCATCGAGTCGCTTCTGACTCCTAGTGACCCCCATTGGGTTTCCGAGGCTGTAAATCTTTATGGCTGTAGATCGCCCCATCTTCCTTCAGTGGGGCAGCTCGTGGGTTTGAACCACTGACCTTCTGGTTAACAGCCAGATGCCTTATCCACTAAGCCACTGTGAAATTTCCCATCACCAGCAACAGAATCCCAGTGCTTCTAAACAGTGACTCCCCCCACCCCAAGCACTAATACAAATTTGGTCTCCATACATTCGTCTAGTCTGGGTATTTCTGGGTAGCCTAGGTATTTTGCAGAAGTGGTGTCATAAACTTTATGTCCTTTTGTGATAGACATATTTGACTCAGCATCATATTTTCAAGTTTCATCCAGTTTTAGCATAGATTTTGGGGGTCTCACCAGTCCCTATCAGACCAGTAAGCCTGGTCATTTTTCTTTCTTCCTTTTTTTTATTTTAAATTGTGATTTGGGTGAAAGTTTACAGAGCAAACTCATTTTCCATACAGCAGTTCATACACATTTTGTCTCATGACATTGACTGCAATTCCCCACAATGTAACAGCTCTTCCCACTTCCTCCCTGTGGTTACCTCTTCCCTGTGTCCTTCCCTCCTATGCATTCCCGCCCCCCAAGCTGTCTCCTTGTGCAGACACTGCCCTTCTGTTCTCCCAGGATTGATCACTCTAAGGAGTGGATCTACCTGATGTCAGTGTTCACCCCAGATGCCTGTCTGTTGTTTGGCTGGAAGCCACAGGAGTGAGTTTAGTTCCAGGCCTGAAGGGGAACTAGAGGCCATAGTCTCAGGGGTCTCACCGGCTCTATCAGACAGCAAACCTGGCCTTTTTTTTTTTTTTTTGATTTTGAGTTTTGTTCCACGTTCTCTCACTCTATCCAGGGGCTCCGGCACTGACCCCCCTCCAAGTGGTTGACAGTGATAGTTGGGCACCATCTAGTTGATCTTGCCTCATGGTCATATAGGCTCAGGATCACATAGGCTTCTACTTCCTTGGACTGATTGTTCCCATGCATCTTTGGTTTTCTTCATTCAGACTTCATTTTTCTTCATGGCTGAGTAATATTCCATTGTGTATGTATCACACTTTTGAATTGAATGCTTTTAAATGTATTAGTGCACAATGACTATAAACATTCCTGTATTATACACTGTAATAGGGAGCTGTGGTGGTGTAGTGGTTAAGGCATTTGGCTGCTAACCATAAAGTCAGTGGTTCAAACCCAGTGGGGGTTGCTATGAGTCAGGACTGCCTCGATGGCAGTGAGTTCGGCTTTTGGCATCCATTCTCGTAGATAATAATTAAACAGTAAAAGTAAAGTGGTATGTTGGAAGTAAATCTCTAGGTAGCTGCTCAGGGCCTCCCCCCACTCCCCAATAATCTCATGTAGCCTTAGATGAATATTAATTATTATAGGAGTGAGTCGAGTTCACCATCAATTCTGTGTGTTACTTTTTTGGAGGGTGAAAGTTTACAGAGCAAATTCATTTTCCACACAGCAGTTCATACACGTTCTGTTTCATGCTATTGATTGCAGTCCCCACCACGTAACAGCTCTCTTCCCACTTCCTCCCTGTGGTTAGCTGTCCCTGTGGCCTCTCCCAGGCACTCCTGCCCCCCAGCTGTCTCCCTGTGCAGATGCTGCCCTTCTGACCTCTCATGGTTGATTGTTCTAAGGAACAATCTCCCTGGTGTAACTGTTCACCTTCCATGCTTGTCTGTTGTTTGGCTGGAAGCCACAAAAGTGAGTTGAATTGCAGCCCTGAAGGGTGTCTAGGGGCCATAGTCTTGGAGGTCTCACCAGTCCCTACCAGACCAGTAAGCCGGGTCTTCTTCATGACTTTGAGTTTTGTTCCACGTTGTTCTCCCGCTCTATCCAGGGGCTCCGGCACCAGTCCCTCTCCACGTGGCTGACTGGTAGCCGGGCACCATCTTGCTCGTGTCTCAGGAGCACGTAGGCTGAGAGGTTCCCACGGTCCGCTAGTGCCTTGGACTGGTTGTTCCCACGCGGCTTTGGTTTTTCTGTGCATTAGTTTGAAAGACTCAGGAGCCAAGAATCCTCCTTCACACGAAGAAGCCCTTAGACACGGGGTGGGGGGAGCCTGGCTGGTGCACATAAAGGACTAGCCCAGGGGTTGGTGGTTCAGATCCATCCCCAGGGGCCTTGGGAAGAAAGGCCTGGCCACCTCCTCCCAAAGGTCCCGGCCACTGCAAACCCCGTGGGCACAGTTCTGCTCGGACCCGTGGGGTCACCAGGAGCCAGGGTTGACTCTGGGGCAGCAGGTGTTTGCCTGCAGGGGAGGGGTGCTTGGGCCCCCAGCACCACTCAAGACGCAGGCTTTTCCAGGCTGTGTGCCAGGAGCCTGCCCCACAGGAGCCCCAGTGGTTAGCTCCACAGTCAGAGCTGGTAAACGTCAAGAGTTGGAGTCACCAGGCTTGCCAAAGGATTAGTTACCTGCTTAGAGTCGCTCAGCATCAACTCCCAGCAGTTTCAGCTGCCCTCTCTTAGCCCTGGTGGTGCAGTGGTTAAAGCACTTGGCTTCTAACCAAAAGGTAGGTCGGCGGTTGGAACTGGCCAGCACCTCTGCGGAAGAGAGATGTAGCGGTCAGCTCCTTACCGGTGCCAGCCAGCCTTGGAGCCCTCTGGGGCAGTTCTGCTCGGTCCTGCAGGGGGCGCTGTGCGTCTGCATGGATTCCACGGCGGTGGGTTTTTCTTTGGAGCCCCGAGATGCCGCTCCACCGCAAACCCCGCACTCGGCATTTTGGGAAGACTGGGGTCAGCTTTTGTCTGGGGTGTAGGGGGCGGGGCGCGACAGGAGCGGCCCTCGGTGGGAGTGTCAGCGGCTTGAAAGAGGAGCCGAGGGAGCTGAGCGCCTGGCGGTTGCGGTTCTACACCTTCCGCTGGGGACCCGGCGCGCTGGGATCTCCTGTGAAGGCCCTGCCCTCCGAGCTGGGATTCTCATCCCTGGCTGCTCGCGGGATCTCCCAGCCACTTTGGGGATGCCACCGGGCCACCCCAGGCGAGTGACTCGGCATCCACCGGGTGGAGCCGGGCGCGGGTCTTGTTTGAAGGGACCGGGCGGTTCTGGCTGGATAGCGAGGCGCGGAGGGCGGGCTTGCAGGGGGCTCCCCGGGCCGGCCTGACCCCTGTCTTCCCCCACAGTGTACCACTGGGTGGAGATGCGGACCAAGATGCGTATCATGGGCTTCCGGGGCGCAGCCATCAAGCCGCTGAACGAGGAGGCGGCCGCCGAGCTGGGCGCCGAGCTGCTGGGCGAGGCCACCATCTTCATTGTGGGCGGCGGCTGCCTGGTGCTGGAGTACTGGCGCCACCAAGGGCAGCAGCGCCACAAGGAGGAGGAGCAGCGCGCCGCCTGGGGCGCCCTGCAGGACGAGGTGGGCCGCCTGGCGCTCACCGTGGAGGCGCTGCAGGCGCAGGTGCAGGCGGTGCCTTCGCAGAGCGCCCTGGAGGAGCTCAGGGCGCACCTGCGGGAGGTGCACGCCCAGGTCTGCGCCCCGGATGGACCCCCCTCGACCCAGAAAGTTCCCGCCGCCCGGGCAGCACCTGGGACCCAGGCAGCAACCACGTGCGAGAAGTAGACGCTGGAACCTGGACTTGGACGTGTGCTCGGCGGCCCGGGGCCTTCTCTCCCACACCACCCCTGCCTGCGCTGGCCCGGCAGAAACCACCTGGATCTCGGACTGGGGTTGAGCCAACTTGGCATTCAGACACCCCCCCACTAACCAGAGCAGTGGTACGTTCTCCCCAGGACTGGCCCCCAGCGGGGGAATCTGCCCAGCATGTGGCCTAGTGGTACAGTCCACAGTGCTCCTACCCCATCCCACCCCAAACCACCAGACCCACCAGGCCGCAGACAGGACACTGCGCTCCGCCTTCTGATGAAAGAAAATGGAATGTGGAATAGAGCCGACTGAGCCCGCCTCCCGTTAACACACCCCGTTTCCGCGACCAGCGTTGCCCTTCTCCGGGATATTGTCCAGGACCGCGGAAGGTCCCTTCCTTTGGTGGCTTGTTGCAGACCGTCATGAAAAGGCAGGGTCTTTTGGTGGCCGCCCTCCTCTCACCTTCTGAGGCGGCTCCAGCTGGGCAGCACCCGTACTGACAGGGGCAGGGACCCTAACCTGTGTTCATCCCTGAGCCATTTTGTCTTTCCTGCCACCGTGACCGTGGTCCTTCCACTGGGCTGTGGATTGTTCCAGCAGGCGCCCCTCCCCATCCTTCATTCTGTGGCACAATCCAGTCCCAGCAGGACATGGCCCTTTGGGAGAAGATTTGACCCTAACTAGGCCTCATCAAAGGAGCTCTCTCGTGGTGCAGTGAGTGCCTAAGGCACTTGGCTGCTAACCAGTAGGTCAGTGGTTCAAACCCACCAGCCACTCAGTGGAAGGACAGTGGGGTAATCTACTTCCTTAAAGATGTGCAGCCTGGGAAACCCAATGGGGTCACTGTGAGTTGGAATTGACTCAGTGGCATTGAGTTTGTTTGTTTTCTGGTTTAGGGCCACATCAGAGTGCTGGTGGTGCTGTGGTTAAAGCATTCAGCTGCTAACCAAAAGGTCAGCAGTTCAAACCCAGAACTCACCGGCCACTCTTGACAGGAGAATGGTGAGGTAGTCTGTTTCTGTAAAGATTTACAGCCTTAGACTATGGGGCAGTTTCATTCTGTCCTAAAGGGTCACTGAGTTGGAATCAACTTGATGGCAGTGAGTTGGGTTTGTTTTCTTAGGCCTCATCCACCCTGCTTTCTAACCTCAACCCTGTGTACCTGTCCCAAAGCCCCCTGGGCCTTGTCCTGACCCTTCCCACTTGCCTCTCACACTGTCCTCCTCAGTGGCCTCTCTCAGGGGTCTGCCAGCCCCCTCCTGACAGTCATGTAGATTGTCACATCTTCCGATCTCCCGTTCAAACACATTGATCTGTGAGTGTTCCCCCTCCTCCCCTCAGGGCTCCTGACAGGCCCAGCCACCCCACTTCCTGCAGCAGCGGTACCCACCCACCACCGCAGCCCAGGATCCCTGCCCCCGCTGCTCCCCTGCCTCTCCCCAGTCGGGTCTTACCTCCTGTATCCAGGCCCCTGGGCTCCTTACCAAGTCACCACAAACTCCGTGAGTCAGAACAGCAGGACTAATCTCTCACATTCTGGAGGCCGGAAGTCCGACGAAGTCTGCCCTCCGCCCCTCACCTCCGAGGGCTCAGGGGGGACCCCTCCTGGCGCTGGCCAGCCTCTGCCACCAGCCCCATCGCCTTCTTGGCTCAGGGATGCTTAACGCCGGCCTCAGCATCTGTCCTCACATAGCCCTCACCTCCTTCTCCTCTCCTGTGTCTTTCTCGCTTTTTTTTTTTTTCAATTTTTATTGTGATTTGGGTGAAAGTTTACAGAGCACATTTACTTTCCGTACTGTAGTTCATACACATTTTGTTTCATGACATTGACTGCAATCCCTCACAGTGTAACAGCTCTCTCCCACTTCCTCCCCGTGGTTACCTCTTCCCTGTGTCCTTCCCTCCCAGGACCTCCTGCACACTGCCCCCCACCCCAGCTGTCTCCCTGTGCAGACACTGCCCTTCTGTTCTCCCGTGATTGATCATCTACGGAGTGGATCTGTGTGATGTAAATGTTCACCCCAGATGCCTGTCTATTGTTTGGCTGGAAGCCACAGGAGTGAGTTCAGTTCCAGAATTGAAGGGTGGCTAGGGGCCATAGTCTCAGCGGTTTCACCAGGCTCCATCAGACCAGCAAACCTGGCCTTTTTTTTTTTTTTTTTTATGATTTGCCTTCTCTCCTGTGTCTCTTAGACATCCATCACTGGAGTTAAACCTACTGTCGTCGAGTGGACTCTGACTCATGGCGACCCTATAGGACACAGAGTAGAACTGCCCCATAGTCCGAGGCTGTCATCTTCAGAGAAGCAGACTGCCTGTCTCCCTCCCACGCCGAAAATCTCAGCACTTAGCAAACCAGATGCCCAGGAAGGAAGGGGCTCTCCCCCATTTCCTTCCTCCCTCACCTCACTTCCTGGGCTGGGGGAATTGAGAATTATGTGGGTTCAAGACCTACCCAAGTAGAAAGCCAAGGAATGGGAAGGGGTCCCTGAAACAGCATCTCAGTTCCATCTGGAGGAGGGAGGGAAGCTGGTGTGGAGGAGCTGAGGGGGGGGTGTTCCCCGAAGTTGGAGTGACCTGAGCGGGTTCAGTGATGTAGGGAGGAAGGCGAGAATGAGATCCCACTGCATGAGGTGGGGGTGGGGATGGGACCATGGCTGCTCTTGGGGGCCTCACTCTGGCACCCATTCATTTCTCCGGAGCCTGGGGAGCTGGAGGTCAGGGGCTGTCACCCCACCACCACCCCCCATCAGGTCAAAAAGGAGCAGTCGGAGTGGGAAGGGCCCAGGCTGGCTGTGCTGACCGGGTGCCAGGCCCTGTTCCCAGTGCTGTGAGTAAACCCCACACGATTCTCCATTTCATTGGTGAGGAGTCGGAGGCACAGAGAGGGACAGTCGGTCACCCCGGGCTGCACAGGCAGGGCACCTCGGGTGGAATGTGAGGGTGACTGGTCTGTGTTGGGGTGGGCGGTCCTTGGGATCTAGAGGCACAGCTGCAGCGGCTGAGGGCCAGGGCTGTGGATGGGAGGCCGGGGGGTGGACAGAACCCCCTCTGAGCACACGCAGGGCCGCGGGGGGTGGTTCGCTGTCCCGTCCCACCAGCTCAGTGCTGGCGCACACTCGCGGTTTCAGGAGGCGGCTACAATAAATTCAAGGAAATGAATTTGTCTTCAAGTGCATGCAGGTGTTTATTTATGTTTTAAAAAGTCCTTCCTAACCTTAGGCAAATGCCCTGCGTTTTCTCTTCCATTCAGCAAACTGTCCCTGAGTCACCCACAGCGTGCTTGGGGACAGAGGTGACCGAGGCAGCCCCGACCCCACCGTCACAGGGCTCGCGGGCCGGGGGAGGACAGAGCACACACAGACAGGGCTCTTCAGTGGTTCCTCAGACATACACACACCACACCACACACACACAAACACACACACAGGCACATACCACAGACACGTGCACACAGTACACACCACACACGTAAACACATGCACACACGCCCACACACCCACACATATAAACACCCGTGTATATTACCACAAACACGTGCACATGTCACACAAACACATGCAGACACTACACATAAACACACATATATTACCAAACACATGCACATGTCACACAAACACATGCAGACACTACACATAAACACACATATATTACCAAACACATGCACATGTCACACAAACACATGCACACACTATACACATGCCCACACATATAAACATACATGTATATTACCACAAACATGCACATAACATACCACACAAACACATGCACACACTAAACACACATGCACACATACACCACACACAAACACGTGTACATACCATGAACATGCGTGCACATAACACTGCACACACATGCACACACCACACACCTAAACGCATGCACACACCCACAGCCCCGTTGCAGTTATTTGGGATGAGGCAGGCTGGAGTCCAGAGTCCTTCCCTCCTGGGTGTTTGAAACCCCTCACACCGGCTCAAGACAGATAGAGAGGAGGTGTTTGGTTCACAAACACTGTCCCAAGGTCGCGGCTCCCCCTCCTCCCAGCCGGCGGTCACCTGTCCGTCCTGGCCTCTCTCTGGCAGGCCCTCTGCTGGCAAGTGTCAGGAAGACAGAACCACCAGGAGAAGTGGACCTCACCTGAGTCCTGGCTCCATTGGCCCATCCGGGCTCCGGCCTTCCGCGTGCCAGCCACTGTGACCCTGAGTGACTTGGCCTGGGTCCCCTCTTCCCAAGGGCCTGGGACTGGAGTCCCGTGGACAGCCTTAGAGTGGCCATCATCCGCCCAGCCACTGGACAAATGTTTGAGCACCTGCTGTGCCTGGCTCCCTCCCAGAGCTGCTCAGGGCTCACCCAGCCCCGAACAAGACGGGCCCTGCTGTCCTGGAGTGGCCATTCCAGGGCAGGAGGCGGACAGCAGAGAAGTAGAGACCATCCGGTGACGGTGACGAGGGTGCCCAGGAGGAAGATAGAGCAGGGAGGGGCTGGAGCCACGGGGAGGTTGATGTAGATCAGGGGAGGGCTCCGCGAGGAGGCACCATCCGAGATGAACCTAGAAAGAGGCTTCAAAGGGGCAAGAGGAAGGGGAAGTAATGATTGCAAAGGCCCCAGGGCAGGTGTGAGGTTGGCCTGTTCCCCCAACAGCAAAAGACTCCGGATAGCCGAGGAGCAGGAGGTAGCAAACAGCGGCCCTTGGGCCAAATCCAGCCAGCTGCCTCCTGTCTTTGTAAATAAAGTTTTATTGGGACACAGTCATGCTCATTTCCTTACATATTTTCTATGGCTGCTTTCAGCCTACAGTAGCAGAGTTGAGTAGCTGCGACAGAAATCATGGCAAAGGTGAAAAATACCTACTCTGCGCCTTTACAAGAAAGCTTCCGAGCCCAAGGTCTTGCCAGCTTCTCTTTCTAGGCCTGCTTCGCCACAGTCGTTCCCGGCAGTGCCCCCCAACGCCGCTTCCGCAGGCAAATCGCAGC